ACCCCCGACAGGGGCCAACTGGGGCTGACCGGGACCCTCCGGGACCCCCGCCCGGGACCCGCCAGGCCCCGGGACCCTGCAGGCCGCAGCCCCGTTCCCGGTTCCCTTCCCTCCCTCCCAGGCCCGATGCCCCCCAAACCCGAATCCCGCTCCCGTATCCAACCCCAAACACCCCCAAACACCCCAAAACATCCCAAAACCCCCCCGCTAAGCGCGTCCGTCCCCCCCCGTCCCCCCTCACTCGAAGTCCCCGGTCGGCATCGCCTCCGCCGCCCTCACGCTCCCAACCGGAAGGACCGGAAGGACCCGCCGCCACTTCCGGCAGGAGCAGGCCGCGCGCGGGGCATGACGGGAGGCGGTTGCTTAGCAACGCCCCGTGGGGCCCCGCGGCCTATTCGGGGCAACAAAAAGTTATGAATAAGGGTTTATAATTTATAGGCGCGATTTATTTGAAGAAATATTACAACATATAAAAACTACATAAAGTATCGAGTCCCACTTGTACAAAGCGGCCGCGGGGGTTCGGGAGAATTGCGATAAAAACGGGGGAGCGGGGCCGGGCTTTGGGGGGGGGGACAGCGGAGGGAGGGAGGGGCTGGGGGGGATGTGTAAAATAAAAAAGAAATAAAAACCAAATGGAAAGCAAAGTGAAAATAATTAAAATTAAAACAGAAGAAAAGCGGAAAAAAAATTTAGAAAAAGCAGGAAAAAAGACGAAAACAACAAGGGAAAAAAGAGGGGGAAAAGGGGGGAAAGAAGGAGAAATACAGTAAAAAGGGGAAGGAAAAAGAGGAAAAAAGGAAAAAAAGGGAGAAAATGAGTGGGGAAAAGGGGGAGAAAAGAAAAAAGAGGAAAAAAGAGAAAATAAGAAAAAGAGAAAAAATTGGAAAAATGAGAAAAAAAAGAGAAAAGAGAAAAAAAAAGAGGGAAAAAAAGAAAAACAAAGCAAAGCAAAAATCCCCAAAAAAGCCCAAACCAGCCAAACCAACCCAAGCAGCCCCAGGCCCCCTGACCCCCCCAGGGGTCTCTCCAGGCTCTGGCGCCGCCTCAGCCGGCGGCTTCCAAGGGCTCCAACGGCTCCATCGGTGCCACCCGGGAACCTGTGGGGACAGCGGGGACACAGTGACACCAGGGACACCCGGGGACACCCCTGACAACAGGGACACCCCTGAAAACAGGGACACCGGGGACACACCGCGGACACCCCTGACAACGGGGACACCAACAGGGACCCCTGGGAGGGGATGGTGACGCTGGTGACCCCACTGACCCCAATGGGGACCCCTGGGAGGGGACGGTGACACCCCCACTCCCACTGACCCCAATGATCCCCCCTGGGACCCCCAGGAGGAGATGGTGACACCAGTGACCCCCCTGACCCCAAACAGTGACCCCCTGACCCCAATAGTGACCCCAATGGTGACCCCCCCATGCCGGTCACTCACCGGCCGTGTCCTGGCGCAGTTTGGCCACGGCGCAGGCCTTGATCTCCAGCCCGATGGCCTTGGCCAGGGGAGGGGGCACTGCGTTGCCCACCTGGACAACGGGGACACCGGTGACACCAGGGACACCGGGACCACCAGGATAATGGGACAACAGGGACAACAGGGACAACAGGGACAACAGGGACACCAGAACAACAGGGACAGAGGGACAACAGGACACTGGGACAACGGGGACAACGGGGCCACGGCACCGTCACAGGGCCACCACCGAGGCAGGGCCTGCACCGACCTGTCTGTGCTTGTCCAGGATGTTCCCGAAGAGCCGGTAGGTGTCCGGGAATCCTTGGGAACGGGCACATTCCCTCACGCTCACCACCCGGTGCTGCTCCGGGTGCAACACCCGGCCCTGCAACGCCGACGGGCGCCGAGGGTTGGGGTGGGCACCGGGGTCGTTGGGGACCTCCGACCCAACCCAACCCAACCCAACCCACTCAACGGTTGGGACCGCAACGCCCACTGGGCACTTCCAACCAACCCAACCCAACCCAACCCAACCCAACGGTTGGCCACCGGCACCTCCCACCCAACCCAACCCAACGGTTGGTCACCGCCGTGTTCCCCGGCACCCCCCTCCCTCCCCGGCGGCGCCCCCCGGCCCCGGGGCCCCCCCACCTGCTTGCCCATGGGCTCGGGGTTGGTGACGGTGGTGCTGAAGAAGCCGTCCCACTCCAGGCGCCCGTAGAGCCCGGCCCAGTGGTTGTGCCGGTTGCCGGTGTGGGGGAGGCACCACGGGATGAGGGTGTTGAACTGCCGGTCGGCCGGGTCGCACGGCTTCCCTGGGAAAGGGACAATCGTGAATTTTGGGGGCACAAACCCACTCGTGGACGTGTTTTTTGGGGGGTCCACCCAGCACCCAGACCCACCCTCGGCGCAGGAGCAGACGCCGCGCAGGGCCCCGGAGCTGCTCCGGCCGTTCTTCCTCTCGTGGTGGGTGTAGCGCAGCTTGCGCGTGGTCGTCCCGTCCGACAGGCGAACCTCGATGTTGGGCAGGTCCCTCCAGTCGGAGCCGGGCGCCAGCGGGATGTGCCGCATCCGCGCCGCCACCAGCGCGCTCATGTCCTGCCGGGGACGCGCCGCGGGGTCACCAACACCTCCACCAGTTCCCAGCACTTCCACCAGTTCCCAGCAGCTCCACCAGTTCCCAACACCTTCACCAGT